TGGTTCAATGATGGACACATTGAGTGAGTTGCTCTTTCAAAGGCTGCATGACAGTGGACCATATCCTCCCAACTGCATTTCCAGAAGTATACCACTTCTGGTTAGAAAGTGGCCTGTGCCTGACCTTTTAGCCATGCAGTGGTGGAACATTGCTGAAGGGCTAGCATGCTTGACTGGCCTGCATAATGTAAAATCCCCATAAAACCTATTTTGCTGCAGTCTGGATTTGGACACCTCTCAAAGGATTCTAATTAAACTTACTGTAAGAATTTCACCAAATTTTTAAGCAAATTTAAGAAGATGAGTTCAAAATAAATTGTCACCTGAAACTTCATCACTAACTACAACCTTTGGAAAGGGATTAAAATTAGTCCTTCCATACATTCTGGTTTTTTGTTTTTTGTTTTTTTTTTTTTTTTTTTTTAACCAGAGGCAGATTAATATGTACAATGACTAGAGAGAAGTGGTTTCCATTAGTGTAGCTATGATGTTTTTCAGAAGTGGCTATGTTGTTTTTCTTTCTAGAGAACAAATTAATTTTGGCTTTTGAAAATAGATCCTAAAGAAGAAAAATAGAGATTGGGGTTATAGTAACCACCAACAGCCATAGAGCTCAGGGACATGTCGCTGAAATGCCTGGAAGCCATACCACTGACTTGTTTGCTTAGAAGGAGGAAGTAATTTACTTCGAAAAGTAATTCAAAACATTACTTTTATGAAACAATCTGGTAAACAAGGCAATACTGTGGTTCAGACTGCAAAATTTGCATGAATTTTTTTAAGGATAAATCAGGGGACTGTAAAAAAATTCTTCATCAAGGGTGGCTTATTTTTTTTGGTGTGCTTCACAGGAAGACTCTTAAAAAACATTGTTGTAGGCTCGGCGCCTATAGCTCAATGGGCTAGGGCGCCAGCCACGTACACCTAAGGTGGTGAGTTGGAATCCCCAGCCTGGACCCGCCAAACAACAATGATGGCTGCAACCAAAAAATAGCCGGGCGTTGTGGCGGGCGCCTGTGGTCCCAGCTACTTGGGAGGC